CTGCCATGTGAGGCACACAGCTAAAGCCAGACCTTTTCTATCACTGAGATGCTGAAAGTTCATGCAGGTTTTTATTACCAGTCCACATGGCCAGAGTTAGAGAGAAGTAAAGTGGGGAGGTAGCGTTTAGTCCTCATGCCCCCAGACTCTGGGATACACTTCCGGTAGCAATTAGAGCCGCTGAATGACTTCCTTGTTTTAAAAAGCTATCAAAGACACAATGTTTTACCCAAGATTGTTAGATACACTTTATTCTTTTTATTTTTTTAGATGTCCTGTATTTTTAGTTTTTTTTAAGCTTTAAATTTTCTTGCACCATTTAAATATATATTTTTCCCTCTTATACCTTTATATCTTTTATTGTACTCTATTTATCCTTTTTAGTTTTTTATTTAACCTTTTATTACTTTTGCCTTGTTGTGACTGTTTTGTCCTTTATTATATTACCATTTGACGTTGCCTTTTGCCATTTCAAAAGGAGTCTGAGTTCCTTGTCATTGGACATATTACCATGGATACAAAAACCTTGCAAGTTAAGGTGAAGTAGTGGATTTATTTTCAAAAGCCGATTCGCTATTCCAAGATCAGACTCTAGAGCCACAACAGAGATTTGGGGAGATTTGTAAGTCCCTGGTAATATGTCACTAAGTTGGGGGTGGGTAGGGATTCCAGGACACCTAAGGGCAGCTGGCCGGGCGACTCAGGACAGGCTGGGAGACATTGGACCACATCTTGATGGGCCACTGGAAGGCGCTTTAATGAGTGCCAGGGCACACCGAGTACCTGAATGCCCTGAAATAGCAACTGGGCCCTCTGGGTTACATCACAGTTTGACAGGCCTATTTTAGGAAGTGCTGTCTTATGCTGTGATCATGCGCAAATACAGTGGTGTTAAAAAGCAGACATGCGCAGTGTCAGTATGATTCAGAGCAATGATTACAGCTGGAGCTTAGATACAGTGGTGTTAAAAAGCAGACATGCGCAGTGTCAGTATGATTCCAAACTGGCCACAGTCTAACACTGTTTGCCATGTTATCAGCATTTCTGTTTCTGCTAAAGCTTCCGAAATGTGATGCACCTCGGGACTTTGGGGCCTTATGCAGGTGAGACGGGCTCAGATGACAGAGACAGACAGGTCCAGGTGAGCAGACGTTGAGGGACTAGGTTTGTTAAGGTTAAGGGGGTAAGGAGGTACACAGAATAGTGTCTCTAAATGCCCTACTGCCCTGCTTGCCCCCTACCATTGAAATCCAGAGAATACTCAACTCCCCACTTTATTACTATTACCCACCCATATATCTGCAGTCACTAGGGTTTGGATTCTATCTACTGTACTAGTTAAAGGCACAAGACAGGCATTACAGTGCAC